TTTCGGAACATAATATGAAAATCACGGGTGCGTTGTCCTTGTAATGGTTCAGGATATGTTTTCTGCACATTATTGTTTTCATTTCATCTCGGTTGTTAGGAAGTTGCGTCCCTTAACCGTGTTGTTATCTCATGGGTCGTGGGTTCGAAAATAATTATCCCATTGTTGATCCTTGATCCGTGCGCGTTCTGCTTGGTTTCACCAAAGTATAATTTACGACCTACAGACCCACGCCTCTACATTAAGTTGACACACAATGACATTGTACGTATCAGTGGCATAAAATGATGCCGGATGCAATTCAATATTTTGAATGGAACCATATGTTCCCGTGTTTTTTTCCAGATGAACAACTGACTTGCATTTGCAACACCTGGTGTCATCACTTTCACCTAGTATCATAATTATTTGAGAGAAATTCATAAATAAAGGCAACAAAACCTATATCCATGTGACATCCCTGCAAAAAACAGGTCGATTGTACAATTCCGTCTATATCATGTGTTTATGAATCACTATCAATTTGTGAAGATAGCAGGTGTTTGCGAAGACCCGTGAAGATCCGGGAAAGAATAGGTCTCACCATCCGTCGTAAGAGGGGACTAACGGGTTCGGGTGGTCAGGCTCGCTGACTTTGTTGATGCATGTCATCGTATCCCAATTGCGTGGATCGATGCTCATGATGTCGAACACTGAATTGTCTGGTCCAGACTCGATTATTTACAGACCTCCGTCAAATAGCTGGAATATTGCTGAGTGCGGCCTTAAACAACAAACTAACAAAAAAGATGTTTGCGAAAAGGTGAGCGCATCCTGTCCTGTTTTCAGGCAAACAGTTGACTTGCCTTTGCATGTATTAATAACTGGTGCAGGATATGTTCTCCTTACGGTGAAAACCGTGTGGCATCACCTTTTTAGAATCATTCTTAAATACATGCTCATAATGTAGTCGGAATCATAACAGGGACTGTGCTTTCAGCAGAAAAGCAGTTTGATTGTTAAAAGGGTTTTGTGCCTTTTATTTAATTAAACTTTTGATATAGTCAATTAGAAGAGTTGTGTAAGAAGCCTAACCGTAAACAGGCTTTAACACACTGCCTTCGCCACCGTGAAGTCGAATCCAACTCTTCTATCATCTGACATAAAGAGAGCGAATGCAGTAAACTTCTTTCGAGTTCGTATTTCCTGTTGAGATTTAGTCGAGACATATCGACTTTGTCTAATCAATCAGGACGAGAAATAGATTCTCCAAAAGCAACGTTTTTTTATATTCAACCTAGTCCTTGGGTTAAAAACGTATAAAAATGTTTCAGGCCTTTGGCTAGAAATTTCTAAATTGTCTTCACATTTATCCCAAGAAACGTACATCCTAACTCTTGTTTGTCTTTCAACCGCCACTTTCTTCATCAGTCGATCTGGTTTCAAGTTACGTGGATAGGTTAAAAAACACGTTTGATCATTTAAGTGGGTAGTACAACAGACACGAACGGAAGTGGCCAAATAAACCTCCATTATATACGTGATAAGATGGACGAAAAAACGCAGAACAGTTTCTCTTTTATTTTTGATTTGATTTTACTGATCATACTGAAAATAGAGACTTACAATGTTGTCAGAACATCAGTCGGCAATCGGAATTTACAAGTGTTTTGAAACGATGACATCTCAGCACATCTGACCCAAGTTACTACGTTGTATTAATGACTGTTTGAAGGGCAGGTGCCCGGAAATGGCAATATTAGTTAATTCAATTATTTTAAGTATAGATGACATGTAATGTTTGAGAATGACTTTAACGCACGTAAGAGACGAAATTTTACTACCTTATTAGATGTTTGGACATAAACTACCGTAATTACTCTTTGCAAACCGTACGAGGCTTTGGACATCAAATACCTTAATCACTTTTTTCGCACCGAATGTGCCTTTGGACATGAAATGCAGTAATCGTACTTTACAAACCGTATGAGCCTTTGGACATCAAATTCTTTGTACCTTAATAACTGTTTACGTGTGCACCTTTGGACATGGAATACCTTAATAACTCTGTACGCACCGTATGAGCCTTAGGTAATCAAATAACAGTACCGTATACGTAATACCTGTTTACTACACAACGCATGGAACTTTGGACATCAAAAATCGTAATAACTCTTCATGCACCGTATGAGCCTTTGGAGATAAAATACCGTAATTATGTTTTATGCACCATTTGATGCGTTGGGCCTGATTAATATATAATTAGCTCATTATGTGCCTCTACATTTATATGTATAAATAAAAAGTCAGCGCATGAAAGTTATCTCGATTTTCTTTTCAAACAGATTCCATCGTGTGTAAAAGGCAAAATAGTGGTTAGAATTCTATGAATGGATCTTTGAAAGTCAATGACACCGGGTGTGGAGAGGGTAAATCTGCCTCTCCTACTGGAAATGGCCTCCAGTCACACGCTAGGCAGTCTTTTTATCAGTCCTTTTACTTTCACTTTTATATTCCTGTTTAAATAGTAGAGCTGAAAACCTAAAACCCGTGAAAATATCATTGTTTTGCTCAATTACTTCCTTTACGGATAGGTGACCACCCCAAATTTCCTGAACATGGAATAACAAAGTGATTGTTAATTAATCTTTCAAACCTTTTCAAACAGCAAACAGCTGAAACAGACACGACGTCAATCTGTGATGATATGACGTCAAAATATAAAGGGTTGGCTGTATATACTTCCCTAACAACGAAACCGCCAGGTCAGATGAAAGCAGATGCTCAGATATTATCAAATTCAATTTATTCCATCCCCGGCCGCGTCATACCAAAATACGTTAAAAGATGGTACTTGTTGTTACCCTGTCTGGCGCTCGGCATTAAGGGGCTAACACAAGGATTTGTCGGCTCGGAGTCAGTATACTGTGTCTGAGTGGGATATTCATGTTAAACTGCGGTATGGTATCTCAGTGAGCTAGCACTATAAATCGGCATCATTCCAGACTAGTACAAGCAGCCACACACACACACACACACACACACACGTGCATGCACGTCGCTATATAAGTGCAATAATCTTGGACGCGACGTTAAACCCCATTTCACCTCACCTCAATTGATTCCGAATCAAGCGCTTTTCAAATTAAGGATAAACACGAAATGATACTTTTAAAAATAATCAAGAGAATAACTGATACGCGGTGATCTGTCTAAAATAATTCTGAGCCTCGATGAATGCCACGAAAATGAAAAAAGAAATTATGCTTACTACTTAGTTGCAAAAGTAGTCAGAGATTTCAGGCTTTCTAATCCAATTTAACGACGTTTTTCAACCACATGTGACTGCGGCATATTCTCACATTCGATGTACAAAATATGAACGTCTGACCGATTGGCAAATAACATCATCCATATGTACATGTAGGATAAGGTTCAGTTCTGATATGAAAGGCATCAGGCCATTAACTGTCAGATTGAGAATTCAGAAACAACGAGAACAGTCTTCATAACAGATTGTTGAGAGTATACAAATGTTGAACTCGGCTGAAGGAGCATTCTTTGACATTAAAACTGCAACCAAAGCGTCTGTGCCTTCGGGGTTTTTACATAAAGATCTATGAACGATCACATGAATAAAGAAGAAATTTACTTACCTCAACAAGAACACAAATACATAAATAGAGTAAATAGAATTTATGGATGGCCACCGGGAAATAAAATGGATTGAGTCTATTTCCGCGTTTGTTTTATTCGATGTGTGGTATCAATTTGCAGAATAGATGAACACTTTGGCAAGGTGAAAATGTTCAGAATAGGAGACATTTCTTTTAATCCTGTGAGACGAAGATACAGTCGAGCTTACAAAAAATATCCTGTAAAACACCAAGAACAATAACCTAGACGTGTAAATCAGTACGACGTTTCAAGGAAACATGTTACGAACAGTTCCAATGAACACCACATAAAATCAAAGTGACAGAACCATTTCCATAATCATACGAAATCTCTGCTGAAAGTAGAGTCCATGTACGGTTTCGAGTAAACCATACGCATGTATTAATTAATCACTATCAAAATAGCGATGGCACATGTCAGAACCACATGCAAAGGACGAGGTCAGGGCCCCGTTCCACAAAGCGATCTTAGTGCTAAGTTGGTCGTAACTCCCATACTTTATCACTGGCTTAAGACGAACGAAGCACTAAGATCGCTTTGTGGAACGGGGCCCTTGGCTCCTTTCGGCCAACTGGAAACCCACAATGTTACGGATAATTTTCAAACATTGTCATGTAAGTTATCGGACATGTTCAAATGGCTGACAACAAGCCTTGATCAAATACATAAATGTGCGTAAAATGAGTGTAAAAAACTAAATGTTTGAACTTCCAAGAAACTGTCTATGAGCAAGTCGCCGACCCAAGATTGACTTTTTATCATAAGCATGTACCTATTTGAAAATCAGCTTGGGTTAAAGACTTGCTAATTTTCAAATATCAGAAAAAGGCTTCCCCAAAATATGCAAAATCATCCTTTTTGACATAATTAGGCCTTACCTATATATTTAGTGTTCTTTAGTGAACAAGAACATCAAGTGTTGACATGTTTCATTAATATGATCCGTCGAGAAACGTTCATGATGATGACATTGTCTAAACGTTAGCTCATTTCTCAAATTATGCAGATCCTGCGAGTATAAAAAAGGATCCTTATCATATTACCGTGTCGTTTTAGGGGGAATCAGTATGATTAAATATTTCCATATCTTGAGAACGTGATGCCACACAGATGATATGAATTTACTATATTAGATGCGTCATTACGCAGATGTCATATGGAAAGGTATGAGAATCGCTATTCATTACCACCGGCCTCGTCCGGGAATTGATCGCGCCACTAACTTTACAACTGGGTTATCATTGATTCCATGTACAATGTTCCCGTTTCATGTTTCGAATTGCAATAAGGATGCAGGTGCTAATATATATTTGTATTACTATACACACATTTATTCCACCCATTAGCGTGGCATAACCTCGAAACTTAAATTTTGGATGGCGACAGTTGTTCGATAGTCTTGGAGCCATATCGCAGTGGAGAACTGGTGATAGCTTTCAGCTAGCAATTACACACATATGAAAGGAGACAAGGAGGGGAATAACTCTTGTCCTGCCCTGGATCACACTGATGCGGTGTCACATTTGTTATTTCATGGCTGCGTTCACTGCGAGATGTATAGATTAAAACCGTTCCAGAGGCATCGTAGGAATTAATCATGGTCAGGAGAAAGTCTTCACAGGCTAAGGATTTCCGTAAGTATGACGGATTAGGATGAACTATGATGGTCTTACCTCTTTCATATTCATTAATGCTTTTTTATGTCACATTTCATGAATGCTTAATTGAAGGAAATGATAGATGTCTATACTTAGGGTTTATTGGAATTGTTTTAGTTTTTTTTAACTCGCGGCTATAATTTTAGACAAAAAGATTAACATTAGTTCTACGTGGACACATACTTGCGTGACTGGAGAGTTTCTGTTAATATGATCTACGGAGAAATGTACTGAAATGCTCCTTGAGGTTTTAAGTAAGTGAAAGGTGAATTTGAAAATCACAAAACTGTGAGGCAACTGATAACGCAACAGTAGAAATAATGTATTGTCTATTGCCACTTAAAATAAGTGTGTTGACAATTGTGGAATTGTATGCAACACACACATGGGCCTATGTACCGCGCCTATCTTCTCAAAGGCTTTTCTCAAGATGTTTCTATTAATGTAACCAGCATGTGTTGTACAATTGCGTTCTTGTGCGAAAACAGTGATTGAGGCGTTCAAGGGAGACTCCAAATGTTAACAAAGTGAATAATGGATATGCGTGTATCTATGTATGTAGATAGAAGTGCAATTAGATGAGGATGTGGGAAAGGGTATAAGTGTGTGTGGATGTGGTGTGGATGGAGGTGTGGCCGGGTGGTTGTAGCTGTGTGAGTGCTGTAGTTGATGTGGAGGAGGCTGGGATGTAGGGGTGGATGTGGATGTGTGTGTGTGTGTGTGTGTGTGTGTGTGGTCGTGATTGGCTGAGTGATGTGTGGGTGTGGATGAAGGTGTGGGTTGGTGTGGGTGTAGTTGTGTGTGTGTGGATATGGGTGACGATGTGGATAAGGATGTGGGTGTTGTAGTTGTGTGAGTGCTGGTGTGGGTGTGGATAATGATATGGATGAGGGGTTGTGTGCGGGTTTCGAAGAGGGTGGTTGTAGTTGTTGTGAGTGCTGTTGTGGGTGTGGATGGAGATGTGGGTGGTTGTTGTCTTGTGAGTATGGGTGTTGGTGAGGATGTTGATAAGGTTGTGGGTGTTAGTGGTTGTACATGTAGTTGTGTGAGTGCTGGTGTGGGTGTGGATAATGATGTGGATGAGGGGTTGTGTGTGGGTTTCGAAGTGGGCAGTTGTAGTTGTGTGAGTGCTGGTGTGGATGATGCTGTGGGTGGTTGTAGTTGTGTGAGTGCTGATGTGGGTGTGGATGTGGATAAAATTGTGGATGTGAGTGGTTGTAGTTGTGTGAATGCTGATGTGGGTGTAGATGTGGATAAAATTGTGGATGTGAGTGGTTGTAGTTGTGTGAATGCTGACGTGGGTGTGGATGTGGATAAGGTTGTGAATGTGAGTGGTTGTAGTTGTGTGAGTGCTGATGTGGGTGTGGATGTGGATAAGATTGTGGATGTGAGTGGTTGTAGTTGTGTGAATGCTGATGTGGGTGTGGATGTGGATAAGATTGTGGATGTGAGTGGTTGTAGTTGTGTGAATGCTGATGTGGGTGTGGATGTGGATAAAATTGTGGATGTGAGTGGTTGTAGTTGTGTGAATGCTGATGTGGGTGTGGATGTGGATAAGGTTGTGAATGTGAGTGGTTGTAGTTGTGTGAGTGCTGATGTGGGTGTGGATGTGGATAAGATTGTGGATGTGAGTGGTTGTAGTTGTGTGAGTGCTGATGTGGGTGTGGATGTGGATAAAATTGTGGATGTGAGTGGTTGTAGTTGTGTGAATGCTGATGTGGGTGTGGATGTGGATAAAATTGTGGATGTGAGTGGTTGTAGTTGTGTGAATGCTGATGTGGGTGTGGATGTGGATAAGGTTGTGAATGTGAGTGGTTGTAGTTGTGTGAATGCTGATGTGGGTGTGGATGTGGATAAAATTGTGGATGTGAGTGGTTGTAGTTGTGTGAATGCTGATGTGGGTGTGGATGTGGATAAGGTTGTGAATGTGAGTGGTTGTAGTTGTGTGAGTGCTGATGTGGGTGTGGATGTGGATAAGATTGTGGATGTGAGTGGTTGTAGTTGTGTGAGTGCTGATTAGGGTGTGGATGTGGATAAGGTTGTGGATGTAGTTGTGTGAGTGCTGGTGTGGGTGTGGATAATGATGTGGATGAGGGGTTGTGTGTGGGTTTCGAAGTTTGTGGTTGTAGTTGTGTGAGTATGGTGTGGATGATGCTGTGGGTGGTTGTAGTTGTATGAGTGCTGATGGGTGTGTGGATGTGGATAAGAGTGTGGGTGTGAGTGGTTGTAGTTGTGTGAGTGCTGATGTGGGTGTGGATGTGGATAAGAGTGTGGGTGTGAGTGGTTGTAGTTGTGTGAGTGCTGGTGTGGATGATGCTGTTGGCGGTTGTAGTTGTATGAGTGCTGATGGGGGTGTGGATGTTGATAAGAGTGTGGGTGTGTGCTGGTGTAGATGTGGAAGTGGATAAGGGTGTGGGCTGCCGTGGGTGGTTGTAGTTGTGTAATTGTTGATGCGGAAGTGGTTAAGGGTGTGGGTTGGGGTGAGTGGTTGTAGTTGTGTGAGTGCTGGTGTGGAAGTTGATGTGGATGAGGATGTGGGTTCAAATGTAGGAAATTGAGCTCAAACTTAATAGGTTTGATAATGTGTTAAAATATTGCTGCTCTAAAGTATTACACATCTGGTGAGAAACTGAGACAGTGATAAGTGTTTGGCAACTGACTGATTAGAGCTAGTTCGCTTCTCAAATGCTGCACAAAATATACCATGTTATATTAGATTTGTTGAAAGCGATACTGGGCAATGAAATGTGAAATGAATAAAGCAGATTGGAATTTCGTGTAAATCCTATGACACAGCCATTCTGTATTCATTGTATTGTTTGCTAGAGTTGAGAGAGTGCAAACATGTATAGTATTTACACGTTAAAAATAACTAATGTTAAAAAGCATACACATATTTGACAAATTCAGTTATGAATACATTCCAGCATGCAACATGTTTCTACGCAATGTACGAACCCGGATATATATTTCACGCATTGTTGGTTTGAAGAAACATTCTATTTGTGCCTCAAGATTTGGTTTGACAGACATATAAAAAGGTTCATAGACATACATGTATTTGTAAGCATCCCACTGATAATCATCGTAATTTTCGACGGTGCAAAACGTCAACGATGTCAACAGCACAAATTGTATATTTGCTGAAGGACAAAGAGACTGGGTGTTAGGTAACAATGTTCATTCCATTGTGTTCACGAAAATATGCTGTTACCTTCCGGTTGCAACACTGTTGGAATATAACAGCGCAAGAAATATATCGCGTACATGTATCCGTATGATCTGGTGATGTTTTGTAATTTGTGTTGAGTTGATCGGGAGGAAAAGGCATCGCAATGATACACCAGGGCCGTTTGCGGTCGGGTAGCATGGTAGTTAAAGCGTCCGCTCGTGACGCCGAAGACCCGGGTTCGATTCCCGACATGGGTACAATGTGTAAAGCCCATTTGTGCTGTCCCCCGCCGTGATATTGCTGGAATATTGCTAAAAGCGGCGTAAAACCATACTCACTCACTCACTCACTCACTGAAGTGATGGACTTTACCTAGCATGTTGATAAGTAAAAGCCATTGTTTGTTTCTCTTTCTTCAAGTAGTAAAAGGGCTAGGGGGGACCAGACACTTTCATGTGACAGAGTAAAGTATGGATATCCCTTAGGACCGTTAATGCGACAAAAACAAAGAAGAACATGAGTTGAATGAAGACAGAGTTTGATTTCAACTTCTTGCAAAAAGACGTTTCAGTAACATGCTAGTACCTCTATCAATCACTTGCTTTTTGAAGGCACTAACATCTGTTCCGAACAAACGCATTGTTGTTTTTCATTTAACGCCGATACATAACGACTGTCTGGAAAATAATCAAATGTGGACCAGATATCATGAGCATCAATCTATGCATTTTAAATACGATGACATTCATCAAGAACATGAGCCTTGACGGCTGCGAGATATATGATCCACGGTGGATTTTTAGCAGATATTTCTTATGATTATGGAAATGGGTTTGTCGCTGTTATTTATATTATGGATCTTAATTATTTTATACCATTGTGAGGTGACAGATGCTTTTATCTGAAATGGCAAGTCTTCGACATTTACAGAGGAACTGCTTTTAGTGTTCATCATTCTGTATGAGCGTGTAGATAACGAGAGATTGTTTTCTAATTGTTTTAAAACCGCGAGCTCGAGTACACTCATAAACAGAAGAGGGGGACAGACAGGCAGGAACAGTTAATGGGCATATTTGATTCGTGTGTATTGGTACAAAGGCTCATTCCTGTTGACATTGATACCATTGCACTTAGTCACCTTTGGGCATTATCATCGTATAGTTGGAACACTTCGTTCCAGATCACGCCTTGACCTCACGCCTTTGGATTAAATGCGTGTTCCTACTTAGATACGATTTCTCAGCAGTGGGTTAATTGGAATAAGGCTGACAAACCACACCGATTAATTTCATTATGATTACATTGGAAATCGTTGAGCCTTTCGGGTTCTCAACAGAAGGATATGAGGCATGAACTGTGTGTGTTTTCGGGAGCACCCTCTGGAGTCCGGTCTATCGACGTACAGATTAGTACCTATACAATTAGGAAAATACAGCATTCTTTATACATGACCTGGGATTAGAGGTTTATTAAGTAGGTTTGGCAGGTTAGGTTACATATAATGACAGCTCTTCCTCAACAAAGTGCGGCTATCCGTACAGTGTTGTGGAGCAAGGCACGTGCAATCGTAAACGCTCTGTATAAAAAACTCACGTTGTGAATTTGGGTGAACACAGGTATTTCGTTGAGTATGCAATTAAATTAATAAAATATAATACAATACGAAGAGAATATACAAAGTCATGTTGAAATAGTTGAATACTGGATAAATAAACACCGTTCGGAACTCCGAGAAGACATTACCTCGGAATTCATTATCGATAGTAGTAAACAATAAAACTTTTAATTTTGATGGTTCTCATTA